AAACCCCTTGCTTCTGTCGTGGAAGGGCAGCCTTTCTCACCCACCGCTGGGCGAAGCGGGAGGCTCTGGTGGGGGTGAGGGTGTTTGGCCCTGGGCTTCGTTGACCCCAAGGTCACCTCCCATCGCAGAGACCTGCCAGCGGCCCCGTGGTGGCCTTGCCTGCAGCAGGTGAGAGGCCTGGCAGGCCGAGGCCTCCTGTGTCCTCCCTCCCAGCCCAGCTCGCTCTGCACAGGCCCCCTCACCTGCTGGCCCTCTGTTGGTCTGCTGCCTCCTCCTGTTCCTTCTGGAACTTTCTGGAGGGGGCTTCCCTCTGGCCTCCTTCACTGGGTCTGCCCGAGGCCCTGCGTCCCCGAACCGTGGCGGTGGGGTCTCTCGGTGCTGGTGCCCCTCTCCCCAGGGGCAGCCAGCCTGGCCCCGGTTTGGGGGTTCCTGCTTCCCCCAGGGCCGTGGCTTTCCCTGGGACTGGGGGCGCGGGAGGTTTACCTGCCCTGTCACCTGCGGCGGATGGAGCTGCTTCATGTGAGAGGAGGGAGACAAGGGGTCCTCCTTCGTGGACCACAGCTAGAGGGGCTCCTCCTGGGGCTCGGGAAAGACCTGCAGGGCACCCATCTGCCCCCCACCCCGTGCCCCCACGCCACTCAGCTTTACGTCCCTGTCGACATTTCCGACTTTTGTTTTTTCCCGGTTTCATTGCTACCGTCATTCCTCCTGTTTTTTGCCAAAGGCAGCAAGCTGATGGGTTCGCCTGCCCTTGGTGGGGGCTTCTCATCCATGTTCTGTCCACGTGGCCCCTCCCAGCCTCAGCTTTGGGCCGGGCCAGCGCCTGTGCTTGCGTCTCTGCCTCCGATCAGCGGGGCTCTGCCACGCCGGTCTTGGTGACGCACTGAGCATCTCTCCTCGGTCGCTTCCACACATTGTTGATTTTGGTGTGCGTGTTTTTACTGAAATTGAAGACAGCACACATAACTAAAATAAGTCCAATAAAACTGGTGGACAGTAGTAACTCGTTTTATAGTGTTATTATTTTGGAAATGTCATCCACAGTCCTAGGAAAAAGTTGATGCACTTTTCCTAATAATAAACTTGATGAATTTTGTGTATCTTTTAGAGATACCTGTAGATTGAACGTATTTTCCAGCATATAAGTGACTAATTAGGAAACCTGCTTTTTTATACCATCTTAATTATTTTTTATTTTTAAAAATTTTTATTGAAGTATAGTCAGTTTACAATGTGTTAATTTCTGGTGTACAGCATAGTGATTCAGTTATTCATACATGTATTTCTTTTTGTATTTTTTTTCACTATAGGTTACTATAAGACATTGAATATAGTTCTCTGTGCTCTGTAGTAGGTCCTTGTTTATTTTATATGTAGTAGTTGGTATCTGAAAATCTCAGGCTCCTAATTTATCCCTCCCTCCTTCCCCACCTTGTAACCATAAGTTTGTTTTCTATGTCTGTGAGTTTGTTTCTGTTTTGTAAATAAGTTCACTTGTGTCATTTTTTAAGATTCCACATAATAAGTGATATCACATGATCTTTGTTGTTCTTTCTGGCTTACTTCACTTACAAAGACATTCTCCAGGTCCATCCATGTTCTGCAAATGGCATTATGTTGTCATTTTTATGGCTGAGTAGTATTCCATTGCATATATATACCACATCTTTTTTTTAACATTTTTTATTGATTTATAATCATTTTACAATGTTGTGTCAAATTCCAGTGTAGAGCACAATTTTTCAATTATAGATGAACATATATATATATATATTCATTGTCACATTTCTTTCTCTGTGAGCTACCATAAGATCTTGTATATATTCCCTGTGCTATACAGTATAATCTTGTTTATCTATTCTACAATTTTGAAATCCCAGTCTGTCTCTTCCCACCCCCCACCCACTTGGCAACCACAAGTCTGTATTCTATGTCTATGAGTCTATTTCTGTTCTGTATTTATGCTTTGTTTGTTTGTTTGTTTTTAAGATTCCACTTATGAGCGATCTCATATGGTATTTTTCTCTTTCTGGCTTACTTCACTTAGAATGACATTCTCCAGGGACATCCATGTTGCTGCAAATGGCGTTATGTTGTCGGTTTTTATGGCTGAGTAGTATTCCATTGTATAAATATACCACATCTTTACCCAGTCATCTGTTGATGGACATTTAGGTTGTTTCTCTGTCTTGGCTGTTGTAAACAGTGCTGCTGTGAACATTGGGGTTCAGGTTTCTTTTTGAATTATATTTTTCTCCAGATATATGCCCAGGAGTGGGATTGCTGGATCATATGGTAAGTCTATTTTTAATCTTTTGAAGAATCTCCATTCTGTTTTCCACAATGGCTGCACCAAGCTGCATTCCCACCAGCAGTGTTGGGGGGTTCCCTTTTCTCCACACCCTCTCCAGCATTTGTTTGTGGACTTTTAAATGATGGCCATTCTGACTGTTGTGAGGTGATACCTCATTGTAAGTTTTGATTTTCATTTCTCTGATAATTAATGATATTGAGCATTTTTTCACATGCCTATTGGCCATTTGTATGACTTCACTGGAGAAATGTTAGTTTAAGTCTTCTGCCCATTTTTGGATTGAGTTGTTTATTTTTTTGTCACTGAGTTGTATGCAGTGTAAATCTGCTTTTAAAGTAAAGTCATTGACTTACTTTTGTTTCCGCAGGCTGAAAGAAGGTGTGGATTAATTTCACAAGTGAGATTTGTATGCTTTTTCAATTTGTCATAATCACATAATCATTCTCTCTTATTTACTCATTAAGTACTTTCCATTCAAAGACTAGTTAAAAGCCTTCAGGTGTGCTGATGATGCGTGCCTCTTGGCAGACTGCTGAGAAAACTTGCTCTTAATTTGCATGTTTCTGCTAGTAATCAGATAATTTAACACTGAAGACAGAGAAAACCAGATGGTGACTGTATTGTTCCATAGCTTTAGGGAGTACAGCTGAGTCCCCTGGGAGTTTGTTCTAAGTATTAGTATATAATGAATTTCGAGGGTGAATGCCAATACCTCAAAGAAGTGATTCAGTTTCCTCAGTCAGGCATGATGTTCAGTACAGTCATGTGCTAACTGGAATTCTCAGGAAGTAGGGAGTGAAGTTATCATTTCTATAACATTTGAAAACACAAAACTATGACATTAATTGCAAATTGACAAGGCACAATATAACATTTTTGCCTTAATTTAGCTAGGACTTTTCAGAACAGTGTTAAATGGTAGTGGTGATAGCTGAAATATTTTATAGTAAGTTTTTTATATCTTTTAATAGAATCATAAGACTTTATTTT